TTCAGCAGCAGTGACAAGGAGATCGATGGGGTGCAGCGGAAGCTCACAGAACAGTTCAAGTGCAAGTCACTTGGACAGGCAAGGTACTACCTGGGAATGCACATTGAGCGGGATACTGAACGTGGCTGGCTCAAACTGCATCAGGGACAGTACATCAACACCTTGGCTGAGAAGTACTCTCTGCAGGAAGAACGGGAAGTGGTCACACCTTTGCCTTCCGAGTTCAAACTCATAAAGGCAGCTGAAGGAGGAGTTGAGAGTGAAGACCAGAGGCAATTCCAATCCATGGTGGGGAGCCTACTCTACGCTGCTGTGCATACTCGGCCTGACATCAGCTTTGCTGTGGGACAGCTGGCTCGAGTAGTGCAAAATCCAACAGAAGAGCAGTGTGGTGCAGCGGAGAGAGTGGTGCGCTACCTCAAGTCATACCCTACAGTGGGAGTACAGTATTCAGCCTCTGCTCAACTCAGTCAAAAAGAAGTTGAAGTCCTCAAAGAGAAGGGGGAGCAGCTCGGAGAAGGAAAGGTGTTCCTTTCCTGTTTTGCTGATGCCACATGGGCTTCTGAACATGAGGATTCATCATCAGTAGGCGGATACATCTGCATGGTGGGAGGTGGGCCTGTAAGTTGGAGGTCCAAGAAGCAGTCTGAGACGGCACTATCTTCAGTGGAATCTGAGTACATGGCGATGTTTCATGCGGCAAAAGAAATCATCTGGCTAAGGAGGCTCTTGAAGGAGATCGGCCATGAACAGACTTGTGCGACACCTCTGTTCAGTGATAGCAAGGGAGCCATTGCCATGGCACGCAATGCAGTTCTTCATGGGTTGAACAAGCACATGAGGATCAAGTGGCATTGGCTGCGGAAGGAGGTGAAGCTTGGGACACTGGATCCGATCTACGTGAAAACTCAGCAACAGCCAGCCGATTTCCTTACCAAGCGGCTAGCTGAAGAGCCACACTGGCGCTGTTCGAGGATGGCGGGAATGTCCTTGAACTAGAGACGGCGAAACAAGCCGACAGTCTGAGGGGGAGTGTGTTGGTGCATATTCATTTGCACGTCATCCTGTCGTCTGTTCGCATCATTTCGTTTGCATGTGTTTTGTGTGCTACGTTGTTTGTATGGTTTGTTGGGTTTGCATGTCTTTGCATGTTCATCTTGTGCTTGTGCAGATGTGCTTGGATTGTGCATGACATCGAGCACATTCCAACGAGCCAAGAATTGTTGGAATCGGAGCACATATGAAGAAGTTACGAAGAAATGTTTGATGGATTTGTTACAACTCATTGGAAGTCCTTGTCAGCTGCTACACCAAAGTTGGGGAGCCCTATAACGAGGAGGGACCAGCATGTGTGGGACTTTTGTCCCCACCTTGCAGCTGCAGCATTTGGGGTTTGGAGGCCAACCTGGCACAGTGTGAATTTTGTCTTGCCAGGCTGGCTGAACCTGAGGATGGGGAGTCAAAACTTTGACTCTTGTCATGTTCTTGACCATGGGCCTACAGGGTCCTTCCCTTTCATCCTTCCCTTCCTACCCCACCTTCCAACTGTGCTTCAATGCCTTTTCTATCATGCCTCTGATCTTGTAAGCTTCAATTATAGTGACTCTGAGGACTGTCAACTTCTCCTAGGGCAGATTACCCCCCAGTGCGCCAAACGCCATAGCTCGCTCGTTCAGCTACAGAATCGAGTGATTCAACTTTGAGTGGAAAGCTGACGCTGCCAGCTACAACATATCCGATTTTCAGATCGTTTCACCGATTGGAGTTTTGGATATAGCTATTCGAAGGTCGCAAGTTTTCTGGGCGTCATAACGAAGTGCTGCAGAAATTTCCAAGGAGCCATTGAATCATCTGCTTATAGCCTTCTCTAACCAACACGCCTTTCTCCAAGGCCAGCTCAAAGAGGATGTTGACATAGAACGCCCACCGTGGTTTCCTGGCACTTAGCCTGCCAACACAGTGTGGAAGCTGAAGCACCCAGTGTATGGCCTCAAGCAGGCTCCTTGTGAGTGGCACAACAAGGTGAAGGAAGTCCTCCTTGCACTGGACTTCCATCCCTCCGCCTCAGATTCTAGTCTCTTCATTGTCACTCCTCCGAGCCCTTCTACATCCTCGTCTACGTCGACGACTTCATTCTAGTCGCCAGAGATCCAGCCGAGATGGCAGCTGTCCAGTCTGCTCTCAGCTCCGCCCTTCTCATCAAGGATCTTGGTGACCTCAAGAACTACCTGGGCATGGAGATCACTCGTGACCGCCAAGCTTGCGCGATCACCCTCTCCCAGGAGTCCTACATCGACAACCTTCTCAAGCATTTCGATATGGACTCCAGTAACTCTGTCTCCACTCCACTCCCACTACAGCATCAGCTCACGGCCCCTCCGATTCCATCTTCAGACTCCTGCAAGGACCCGTACCCTGAGCTAGTCGGTTCACTCATGTATGCTATGATGTGCACTCGACCAGACATGGCTTACCCGGTTAGTGTCCTCTCTCGGTATGTCTTCCCCGGATGCTCCACTGCCTCCCATTGGTCTGCAGCCAAGAGGGTCCTGCGCTATCTACAAGCCACCAAGTCTCACATCCTCACGCTCGGTGGTACCTCTCCAGTCAAGCTCGAAGGATACACAGACTCCTCATGGGCCGATGACCAGATTGACAGACGCTCCTCCCAAGGGTACTGCTTCACCCTTGGTAGAGGAGTCATCAGCTGGCGCTCCATTCGGTCCTCTGCAGTCTCCCTGTCGTCCTGCGAGGCCGAGCTCTATGCAGGCACAATGGCTGCTCAAGAGGCACGCTGGCTCTCCTTTCTCCTCGCTGAGTTAGGCTACCCCCAGCAGTCGCCCACCCTGTGGTGTGACAATCAGAGCGCCATTCATTTCACCAAGGATCCTGTGTTCCACTCTCGCACCAAGCACATCGAACTTCGTCATTTCTTCATTCAAGATCTTGTTCAGAGTGACCAGCTGACGGTACGGTACATCGCCTCAGATTGCAACCTCGCCGACCTCTTTACCAAGGCTCTCGGCAAGGCTGACCACCATCGTCTTCTCCGTTCCATGGGGCTATGTGCTCCTTGACCGGGTTTGCAGTCCATGGGGGTGTGTTAGAAATAGATTGCAAATCCCACTTTTGTATTTATACTGTTATATCTTTTTTTTGGTTAGGAATGTTCTAGTGGGTTGGGGTGTACTCACAAATCCCAACGTTACCCAATTGTGATCCCCCCAATCTCCAATTACCCAATTGGAGATTCTGGAGATCCCAATGGGGATTCCCCCCGATTCCCCCTTCATCCATTTTCTCTCACCTTGCCATGTGCTCATCGAGCCTTGGGTTCCTTACCTATTTATTCCTTTCAGCTCTTTTGCTTACAAGGGCTCCACCATTTTGTGGAAGTTTTGGGCGGCTTTTGCCACGCTGGCACTGCGAAAACAGTCGTGGCTGTAGGTAACTCAATCAAGACAGCGGATATGCTGTAAGCATATGGCTGTTAGCGGATATATACTATTTAGATATATGTATGTACTGCAGGCTAGCTAGATGCAGACTGTAATGGGGACAACCCCAATACTCGAGATCTGTTCTGTTTCTGTTCGAGACATTCAGTTCTTTCATTCTGACATGGTAACAAAGCTAGGTTAGACCCTTGCCTCCACGCTTTTGCCCTAGGTAGTCCCTGTTGACTTCTCGACCTAGCCCTAGCCCTAGCGAACCATAGGCCCTACTGGCTCCTAGCTCCTCTTCGGCTCTGCCGCGCCCTACCCCATGCTCGAGCCCTAGCCCGCGCATGCGGCACCTCCCGAGTCTGCCGCGCCCTGCCTGCGCCTGCCACGCCTGCCGCGCCAGCCGCGCCTACCGCACTTGTCACGCCTGCCCTGCCGTGCCACCCCACGCTTGCCTCGCTGCCCCGCGCAGCGCCTGCCGCGCCCTGCCCGTGCCTGTCGCGCCTGCTGCGCCTGCTGTGCCTGCCACGCATGTCGCGTCGTGCCGTTTCGTGCTTGCCTCGCAGCGCCAGCCGCGCCCTGCCTATGCCGTCGCACCTGCCGTGCTTTGTCCGCGACTGCCGCGCCCACCGCACCTGTTGCGTGTGCTGCGCCTACCGTGTTGTGCCGCCCTACGCTTGCCGCGCTGCCCCGCATAGCGCCAGCTGCGCCCTGCCCGTGCCTGTCGTGCCTCCCGCGCGTGTCGCGCCTGCCGCGCCCTCTCCACGCCTGCCGCGCCCACGGCACCTGTCGTGCCTGGCGCGCCTGCAGCGCCGTGCCGCCCCGCACTTGCAGCGCTACCGCCTGACCGCTTGCCGCACCTGTCGTGCCTGCCATGTGCCCTGTCCGCGCCTGCTGCGCCCGGTGCACCTGTCACGCCTGCTGCACCGTGCCGCGCCCGCGCCACCCCGCGCCTGCCGCGCCGCCTCGCGCAATGCCTGCCGCGCCCTGCCATACCTGCTGCGCTTGCCGCATGGTGCCTTTCGCGTTGCCCCGTGCCTTTCTGTCACTCCGCGCTCGTGCCCAGCCCACTCAGCCCGGTCTCGTGCCTTAATTGAGCCCCGCTCGCGCTTTGCCGCTGCCGCCGGCCCTGCGGCTGGACTTGTTGTTGGACCTGCTGCCGACCTGGCCGCCGCCACTACCATCGGATCTGCCACTGTACGCCACCCTCGTCAGCACCAGCCACTGTCCGGGTACGTGCGGCATCCTGGTTTCCTACTGGTATGGCAGTCCCGTCACCGTCAGTATTTGTCCCTCGGCCGGACGCCGAAGGCCGCGAAGTCGGGTTTGCAGCCTGGCTTTCTGACTTGCGCGGGCATCTGATGCGCCAGCGCCTTGAGGGTGAGTCGCTCGCGGCCCACGTCACTGCTGAGCTGCCCACCCCCTCCCGCCCCGCTCCCCTTGGCACCGAGGCGATGTCGGCGCAGCGTGCAGAGTACGACGTCTGCGCCTGATGCCCTCCCCACACTGCACCCCGCTGACCTCACTATCGACCTCTTCTCCACCTCCCTGGCTCAGATAGAGAACCGCCTCCACACCATCACTCAGACTACTGGCGCGGTGGCGGCCCTATCTTTCAGGGCAGCTCTCTGCCCCAGCTCCCTGTCTTTGCTGCCTCTGCCTCTGTCGCCGAAACCCTGCAGCGGTCACTCTGCCCGGTCACTCTTCTAGTCGTTCGCGGCGCACTGGTGGCCGTGGGGCATAGGCAGCGGTGGGAGATGGGGACGCTGGTGGGGCCCGGGGTGCTGGTGAAGGGGCAGGCACGGAGGAGGAGGGGGAGCAGCAGCAGCCGCAGCAGCAGCAGCAGCAGTAGCCGCAGCAGCCTCCGTGGCAGCAGCCATTGCCGCCACAACAGCAGCAGCGGCAGCAGCAGAGGCCGGAGCAGCAGCAGCAGCTGTTGGGACGGTGGACCCTGGGAATGTTGGGCGTGGTGGGGACCTTGGTGGCTGGGCCCCGGGGCAGTCGGTACCCTGGGGTTTGATTGGCTCCTCTGTGGGCCAGGGTGGCGTGGGACATGGGGGATCCGTGTGCTGTGCGTACCAGGTGTACACCGGCCCCCTGCACGGCACGGTCTGCGGGCGCACGGGTCACACCGCCGTCCGTTGCTTCTCCACCTGGACGACCTGTTTCGTGGCCACTATCGCAAGGGGAGGGTTGCGACTATACTGGCCGAGCTTTTCAAGTCCGACAGAAATTTACAATGTTATGACTGGTGGAAGTTCATTTGCGTGACCTTGTAAGTTGTTCGGTTTGACAGCTGACTGGCTGGAGTCGTCAGCTTTTCGCAAGACCCAAGGCAATTTTTTTCCAGCCTCGGATCTTCTCGCTAAACCCTCAGGTCTAACACTCGCTGCGGAATTTATCCTTACCTGATGCTTTCTGATCTATTCCTGGTTGTGGTTACGAGGACGCCCTCGCAGCAAACAGCACATCCCTTGATTTGATTTGCCCTACATGAAGGGCCAATCAGCGCCCTCACACACCCTCCAGCACACATGGCATGGGAATTTGGTGAAGGGCCAACCAGCCCAGTCACTCACCCTCTAGCGCACACGGCACGGTGATTTGGTGAAGGGCCGATCAGGCCCCTTACACAACCTAGAACACGAAGCAAGCAGGAATTTTGGTGAAGGCCGAATTATCACCTCACGCAGCCTAGAGGAGGGCAGTATACAGCAACCGCTCTCAGACGAGCAGAATCACTAAGTCTGAAACGTCAGAAGAACAAGTACATAGTTCATGGAAAATCAGAATAACTAGAATTTAATTTCAAAGGCATCATAATTTCTATTTTTGGACGTCTCAAAAATCAAAAGAATCAGAAAAATTGCGTATGAAAATAAGACAAACAGATGGATTTTGTCTGCTAAGGAGGACCCAGTCCGCAGCTACTTGCGACTCCTGCTGTGCATTAACAAGGTCAACATTGTTGACCTTTTTGCTGACCTCGCCAATGCTCAGCAGAAGGTCGAGGGCCGAGGGGGCGAGGTTTCCCTTGTCTGCCCAACGCTTGACGTTGAGTCCGCCCGCAATTTCACGGGCATTCTTCTCGGGCTCCGAAATAATCTGGGTGTGGGCCGAGGATTTTTCGCCCCGGTCAGTGGAAGATTTGGCCGCCATGGTCGCCTGATTGTGCTTGAGAATATCGGAGAGGAGGGCTGAGGGTGCTTTCGACGTGACAAAAGATAATAGAATGAGAGATACAAGGTGCTTTTGTGCCAAGGGATTGTACTCTCTAAGAGTACGCACTTATGTAGCCTATAAGACATATATATGTATGTCTTGACACACCCCCTAGGCCAGATGAGGGGCAGTGCCTGGAAAGAGACACACAGCTCAAGGTGGCACTACTAGTCCAACCTCTGAGGCAAGGGTCCGAAGACCAGTCAGCAAGGAAACAAACTAAACAAGAGCAACCCAGGGCGGCACTACTAGTCCAGCCACTGGCACAACAGCCACAACGCCAGTCAAGATAATACAAAAGTGGTACACAATCAAGGTCCTAGCAAGTGAGAAAATACAAGAACTAGACCAAGCTGTACACAGTGCCACTGATGATCCTTAGGCGCAAGTGCCTTAGTAAAGATATCAGCTGTGTTGGCACCGGAGGCCACGTGTACTACGTGGGCCTGGCGGCGCTGCTGCAGCTCGTCCAAGAGGAAGTACCACAGCTGGATGTGCTTCGCTCTGCCCTCCAGTCGAGGCTACTAACACAGGAAGATCATGGCCCTCTTGTCAGCGTACAGGATCATGGCAGAGCTAGGCCGCTCACCTAAGTTTGTGAGCAAGAAGGTCAGCCAGCAGAGCTCCTGTGCCATCATGGCACCGGCGTAGATCTCAGCCTCACAGCTAGACTGGGCAACACACGACGAACTAGGTGACCTCCACGAGACGGCTCCTGCACCAAGGCTAAAGCAGTAGCCCTAGGAGGACCTGAGTGTCTCAGCATCGTGCGCCCACAAAGCGTCTGTGTGCCCAGTAAGGACCACTGGCCTGCGTCCTCCTAGCACTAGCCCCATGCCCGATGTACAAGCTAGATAACGCAAAACCCTCTTAGTGGCCGACCAGTGCTGCGGTCAGAGTCTGCCAGTGGCTACAATACGGGCCACGATGCTGAGAGGGTATGCGAGATTTGGACGAGTGCAAGTCATCAAGTACATGAGGCAATGCACCAGCTCTGCGTAAGGACCACTAGGTTCTACTGACTCCTCAGGGACTGGAGCAGAGAGTCTGTAATCTTCCGGCAGAGGTGTGGGCTGTGCAGAGGAGAACTGAAGGCCAAACCTCTAAAGGACCTGACACACCAAGTGTGAGTGAGTCAGAGTGATGGTGCGTGCTGCTCTGTCCCTGGAGATCTGCAGGCCAAGGTAGCGGCGTAGCTCTTCCAGGTCAGTGCAGGTGTGTCTCCGACACTGTGGAGGAGTCAAGAGAGTGCAGCTCGTAGTCACGCTGAACCCTGTGCAGCTCGTAGTCACGCTGAGCCGCGAAGATGACTACTCTTCGGGCGCTGCTAGACGTAGCTAGACGTAGCTGACGCGCTACGTCTAGCAACAGCCGAAGAGTATTCATCTTTACGGTCGGGGCGAAGGTCTGAAAGAAGTCAACACCCTCGCGCTGACTGAATCCTCTAGCTACGTAGCACTCCTTGAACACCGACGGCTCTCCAGGAGGGCGCTTCACCTTGAAGAGCCACTGGCCATCGACTTCGTCCACCCCAGGCGGGGGCACTGCGTCGACATAGGTGCCAGTGGATCTCCAAGATTCCATATCCGTGTCCATGGCAGCTATCCACTGAGAGGCCTAGGGTCTTGAGGTAGCCTCAGCATAAGTGCGAGGGGTCGGGATGTCAAAGGCGTCTGGGTCCCACTCAGGGACTAGCAGCATGGAGCACAAATAAGGCGCGGCCTCGGACAGGAAAGCAAGCTCGTACTGCCGGTCCTCCAGGACGTGACAGCCAAGGGCAAGAGCACGCGTGACGGACAAAGGATGGGCAGGGTCAGAGACTAGAGCGGTGGCGTAGTCAAGGCGGCGAGTAGAGGCAAAGTCAGCGACAGCAGCGACAAGTGCGTCAAGACTCGAGACAGGAACGGACAGGTTTTGTAACGATGGAGGCAAGGACCTGAGGAAAAAAGAGGACAAGCGGCAAGAAGGTACTCAGACAGAGGAGGCAGAGCAACAACAATTGAGGAGGGAGAAAACGACAAGAGGAGGGTGTTAGAAATAGACTGCAAATACCACTTTTGTATTTGTACTTTTATATCCTAGTTTAGGTTATGAATGTTCTAGTGGGTTGGGGTGTACTCACAAATCCCAACCTCACCCAATTGTGATCCCCACAATCTCCAATTACCCAATTGGAGATTCCGGAGATCCCAATGGGGATTCCCTCCAATTCCCCTTTCATCCATTCACTCTCACCTTGCCATGTACTTATAGAGCCTTCGGCTCCTTACCTAATCAATCATTTCAACTCTATTTCTTACATGGTATCAGAGCGACCTATCCGCACACGCGGATCAAGGTCCTAATCTCAACGTGCCCGCCCTACCACTTCATCGTCGCGACATTCGTTTCGAGTCGTCGGAATTTCGATGCTCCACTCTGCAGTCGCGCCTCTCATCGTCGACCGCCTTCGCGCTCGACCTCGTTGAATTTCTCATCTCTGAAGCTTTCACGCTTCTCATCGTCGATTTCCTCCTCAGTTCTCCTTGGTCGAATCTCAATTTCGACCATCTCTTAAAATTCGTTCTCGAGTTTCCCCTCAGACCCCGCCAGAATAGGCGAACTCCCCTCGCGAAATCGCCTCCACGTGTTAGAATATACCATGCTATGCTAGTTGTGTATATTGTGTTTACATCCCTAGTTGGGTGTAAACCTGTGTTGGGGTGTCAATCCAACCCAATTGTGGTTGGAGCCCCCAAACACAAGGACCACAATTGTGGGGGCACCACAAGTGGGTTGGCTAAACCACTGGTGGTACACCACACTTGGACCACCTCCAACTGGTGGTCAACCACATTTGGAAGGATCCTCCCTCCCTTGTGATTGGTCCTAACCCCCCCTTCCCTTCCAACCTTCCCTTCCTAGCTCATCTCTCTCTTCCTATGTAATGCCTTTGCTTCATCAATAAACTGAAACTTTCTGTTTCTAACACCACGAACGTCTCGCGTCAAATCAAGAGCAGGTACACAGGTTGAAGCGAAGCGGAGCTGGTTGCGGAGCTGGTTGCGGAGCTGGTTGCGGAGCTAGTTGCGGAGCTGTGTAGCTGCGGGACAGGGCCTGGGGGTGAGTGGGGGGGTGTGTGGGTCCGGGGTTAGACATAGGCTCAGATTCAGTTTCAAGTCGGCGTTTTAACGAATTTTCGCCGACGCCATTTCCTACTTAGCGGCATTTTGATACAGCCGTCAGAGTGATTTTCGGCAATTCTCGTCGACCAATTTCCAGAAGTGCCGCGCTGCACACCGACAATGGCTTACTCAACCACTTCACTCGCCAACCCGATCCCGCTCCTTCGTCTCGAGCCGGACGGTACATGCTCCAACTAGAAGGCTTGGCGCTATGGTGTCGACAAGCACCTCCTCAGTCGAGGTGAAGATCGCTTCCTGAACAAGACTGCAGTGGGAGTTGCTATACTCATCCCCAGCATGTTCCATGTGCGGCTCGAGGACTCGCCAGGCATGGCGGACTATGTCACCAAGGTGCAGTCCATTCATGGTGAACTCCAACAGTTGGGGATAGTCTTCACCGAGCAAGCCCCTGTAGCCGCTCTCCTAGTCGGCCTCACTCCGGCATACGAAGTCACACGCAAGATGCTCTTGGGCCTTGCTCCTGCAGACCTCACATTTGCCAAGGTCTCATCCGCGCTCCTTTCTGCCGAAAAGGACAACAGCGCTCAAGCCAAGGCCAATGCAATCCACGCTCCCGTGCCTC